GGGCGGAGGTTGGCGGAGGTTGGCGGAGGCGGAGGTGGGCGGGCGGAGGTGAGCTTGTGGTATGAGGTGGGCGGGCGAAGGTGGGCAGGCGGAGGAGGCAGGGAGATGACCGGGTGGAAGAAGAAGAAGAAGAAGAAGAAGAAGAAGAAGAAGAAGAAGAAGAAGAAGAAGAAGAAGAAGAAGAAGACGACGAAGAAGAAGAGGAATGGATGAGTGAATGAGGTGGACAATATGGAGGAGGAGGAGATGGAGGAGGAGGACATGGAGCAAGGTGTGCTGTGGGCGGGAGGAGATGGAGGAGACGGAGGACGAGATGGAGGAGGAGGAGGAGATGGAGGACATGGGGGAGGACATGGAGGAGATGGAGGAGACGGAGGGGGAGTAGATGGAAGAGAGATATGAAGGAGGTGGATGAAGGAGAATATGGAGGAGGAAGACATGAAGGAGGTGTACAAGATAGAAGACGAGGAGGCGATGGAGGAGATGGGCGAGGACGTGGAGGAGATGGAGGATATGGAGTGGGAGGAGATGGAGGAGGATATGGAGCAAGAGGAGGAGATGGAGAACATGAACGAGGAGGAGAATATGGAGGAGGAGGGGATGGGGCAAGGTATGTTGTCGTAGGAGGAGATGGAGGAGTTGGAGGTGGAGGAGATGGAGGAGATGGAGGGGATGGCGGAGATGGAGGATATGGAGGAGGAAGAGGACATGGAGGACATGGAGGAGGGCATGGAGGATGAGGAGATGGAGGAGATGGAGATGGAGGAGATGGAGGAGATGGAGGGGGAGGAGATGGAGGAGAGATATGGAGAAGGTGGATGGAGGAGAACATGGAGGAGGAAGACATGAAGGGGGTGGACGGGATAGAGGACGAGGAGGCGATCGAGGAGATGCACGAGGACGTGGAGGAGATGGAGGATATGGAATGGAAGGAGATGGAGGAGGAGGATATGGAGCAAGAGGAGGAGATGGAGAACATGGACGAGGAGGAGAATATGGAGGAGGAGGGGATGGAGCAAGGTATGTTGTAGTAGGAGGAGATGGAGGAGTGGAGGTGGAGGAGATGGAGGAGATGGAGGAGATGGCAGAGATGGAGGAAATGGAGGAGGAGGAGGACATGGAGGACATGAAGGAGGGCATGGAGGATGAGGAGATGGAGGAGATGGAGATGGAGGAGATGGAGGAGATGGAGGAGATGGAGGACATGGAGGAGGAGGAGGAGGAGATGAAGGACATGGAGGAGGGCATGGAGGAGGAGGAGATGGAGGAGATGGAGGAGATGAAGGAGTACATGGAGGACAAAGAGACGGAGGAGGCCTTGGAGTACATCGTGGAAGATGTTGAGAAGATGGACTTCGTGAGGGTAATGGTGGAGATCAATCAACGAATCAATCAATCAATCAATCAATCAATCAATCAATGGAGACTATCAATCGATTATGCACTCAATGAACAAATGTGCTCGTATTTAACTCGATGACTATCTTGGTTTGTCCATGCAGCTTGAATCTTTGCTGCATGCCAGGCTGACGCAGTGGTCTCACAGGATTCGACACCAATTCAAGGGATTGGAGAGTTAGCAATCATTCATTCTTTGGGCCAGCATTCATAGGCGGCCAGTCGCTATCCTGTTCCTCCTCGTCGTAGTCATGGTGACAGGCGGTAGACGGCCACGAGGGGGGCAACTCCCTCCATTCGAATCAGTGCCTGCACACAAGCAAGCAGATTTGAGGCGAACAGATGTGGTGTGGGAGTGGGCGGAAAGGGGGCGGGAGTGGGGGTTGGCGGGCGGAGGCAACTTCCTTCTGCGCTGCCGACTGTGTGGGGAGGTGTTCACGGGTTTGAGGTCCAGAGCAGTGGAGCACTTCACGAAACCAAAGGCACACTGCCCCCGACGGAATGGGGAGATTTTGTATAGACTACAAGGGGCTGGTGCTTTGTTGAGGGATGCATTGTCACTCAGACTGGCTGCTGAGCACGCAGATAGGATGGATGGAGAGCTTGCCGCCGAGGACCTGCGTGAGTTGGACGAGCCATGTGACCCGGTGCCGTATCGTGCAGGAGGAGTTGGAGACGATGATCGTGGTGAGGGTGGTACACAGCAGGGGCAGGATGCCGGGACTATGAGAGATGAGTTGTGGGGCGGTGAAGGTGCAGGAGATGGTGGAGGGGATGGAGGGGAAGCTTGGGTTACTGGCACGACGACCACCACCTCCACACAGGTGGTGCCGAGGTCCTGGAGGAGACAGACGACCCTAGATGTTCATCTAGGGAGCAAGGTCCAACATGATTTTGATCGTCTGTTAGCCTTTGCTATCTATCGAGGTGGAGTGCCCTTCAACTGGTTGCGGTTGAAGGAGACGCAAGACTATTGGAACTACATAGTCACACTCCTGCGTCCTTCGATCGTGCCGGTGCCACGACTGCTGACATACGAGGGAGTCTGCACGAGGATGATGGACATCGTTTTCCACGAGGTAGCAGCCCTCATTGCACCTAAAAAGGCAAAGTGGGCTACCACAGGATGCACACTGCTGATAGAAGGGGCTACCGACACGACCAACAAGCCCATCATGAACTTCATAACCGCAGGACAGTCCGGACCCATCCTCATCCGGACCATCGACATGTCGCATCGGGAGAAGACGGGAGTCGGTCTAGCAGAGATTTGGGAGGGAGTCATCAGAGATGACATTGGCATTGACGATGTGAATGTCATCTGCACCGACAACGCAGAAGTGATGAAGTGCTTGTTGTTGAGGGACATTGCGGCGCAGCCTTGGGCGCCCACTGTCATGCGGAAGGCGCACAAGTTAGTCAAGTTCATGCGCAACAAACAGCGAGCCCTGACACAAGACCATGAAGAACGCGCTAGTACTGAAGCGACCAGCGGAGACGCGTTTTGGGACAGCGTTCATGATGCTGGAGAGGCTATATGAGCAGAGGGGTGTGTTAGACAAGCTCGTGTCAGGGGAGTTGTGGGCGTAGGTGCGGTGGATTGGGGATGCGAGGAGGGATGAGCCCAAGGTGCGTAGGATGTGCAGTGACGATTCTTGGTGGGGGTGAAGATGGTCGTGAACGTCATGGCCCCGTGCTTCAGGTTCCTCAGGGACATGGACAGGGATGGGTCATCACCCACAGGATTGTGGGATTTGGAGAGCATATTGCGGGGGAGGGTCAAGGCTCTTGGACTGACGGAGGATGAAAGAAGGGCGGTCATGGATATTATATCCGACAGATGCAGGATGATGCGTCAGCCTGCCCATGCGGCTGCGTATCTGTTGGATCCTCGCCGTCGTGATATCTCTTTGCTGGCGGACCGCAGAAGTTCCCTCGTGCAGAGCGCGCTAAACCACTTGGCTCGCTTTCAGGGTGCTTGTTGGGAGTCTGATTCTGTGCATAAGCTTTGGCAGGCATTGTGGACTTTCCATTGCGATGACCCTCACTATTGGCCGAAGAGTGGAGCGCACTGGTGGGACGAGTTTGCGGTGAAGGACGCGGCGGAGGGGGGGATGCATGCAGCGATGTGGTGGGAACTTTCACGGTGGCCAGCAGCCGAGACTGCAGATGATTGTGAAGAAGGTTTTGGGTATGTGGTCCACGGCCTGTCCTTGCGAGAGGAACTGGTCCACCCACGATTTCATCCACACGAAGAGGAGGAACCGCCTTTCTGCAGAGAGTGTCGAGAAGCTGGTTTTCATTCACTGGAACTTGCAGCTCCTCAGTGCCAGCAGGAGGACGGACAACCGGTACATTGATGTGTGGGAGGATCAGGTGGAGGACCCCGCAGAGGAGATCGATGGTGACGACAGTGTCCCTGCAGCGGTGCCAGAGGAGGAGTGAGAGGAGATCGACAGGAGGAACAGGAGGAAGGAGGGGCGTAATCGATTTGGGAAGGGGAAGGCACCGATGGTGGATGAGGATGAGGATGAGGAGGGTGATGAGCCCCTTTGGCAGGATACGGTGTGGATGCACAGAGAGATGATGGAGGCGCAGCAGGAGCAGAGAGACGTCGGCCGTACGTTGCCTGAGGACCAACATGACTTATTGGACGCGTGGGGTGGAGCGGACCCTCATACCGATTTCGACGCCTGCATCGGGCAGAATGTGGATACCGTGAGGAGTCTACGGGGGAGGGTTGGGTGTCAGATAGATTTGGAGGAGCTTCTGACCAGGGATAGAGAGGCATGCGGCACAAAGGTGGGGCAAGAGGAGGAGAGAAGTCAGCACGTTCCACATTCGTCGACTGCCGGAGAGGGAGGTCATACTGGGGGTGTTTCAGTAAATGCACGTACGCCGGCTCCTGCAGCAACCCATCACGCTGCTGAGAGGATTCTGCGAGGGGCAGAGGAGGAGATGATTGGGAGGGAGGGTCATCATGCGGATGACAGGCCGGAGGACACACACCAGGTGCGCCAGGTCGCCGAGCAGGTTACACATCGAGGCGGCGGTTCACAGAGCATCACTCAGTCAGTTGTCCCGAGGGTCATGCTACGTGGTGGGGATGGTGATGGACAGGTGGCGGCCGGAGGTGGAGACCGTAGGGTCAGTGATATCATTCGTCCTACAGTGGTTTAGACCTCAGAGCAGAGCATTGGTTGTGCTTTCTCAACGCACGTCAGCCAGAGAGTGGATGACAGGGCGGACCCATTACCAGCGTCTGTCGCAGAGCTTGGTGTGGTGCAGAGGGTGGAGCAGAGGGTAGATGGGATGGTGCAGGACAGGGCGAAGAAGAGGGCCTCCACAGGATTGAACATCAGAGAGAGCGGAGGGATGGACACAACTTTGAGGTTCAGGTGGACGTTACCATGGACGAGAGCGTAGTTCGACGGACGGAGGATGGGGGCAGTGAGAGGAGGGGTGTGGCATTTATACGCGAGAGTATGATCCAGAGTGAGGATGCTCAAGTTGCTACAGAGGGGGGGGGGAGAGGGAGAGTGATGTTAGATTGTCGACAACCTCATTCTATGGGATTCTGCTCATGCCCACATATGCCACCCCATCACCCGATGCAGCAAGAGTTCATCTTCTCAGCAGATCGACGACAATTGGACGACATGGTGGTGACACTTCAAGTTCATCTCCCGCAGTGTTCCCTGGCAGTGCCCTACACCACCCCCCATCGGTGACTTTACGACGCTCGGTTGCACACGCGAGTGGAGCATCCACTTCGTCAGTGGCGGCTGCCCCGCCTGTGTGTAGTCCATTAGGCATGCCACCACTCCCTGCACGACTTGCATCAACCATTGTTGATAATGTGAAGACAAGTCGTGCAGGCAGGAAGAGGAACAGGGAGGATGGCGGAGGCGCATTACCACCTCCTCCACGACCGCAGGGTGGCACAGGCAGACCTCGTGGTCGCCCGCGAGGCTCAGGGTCAGGCAAGGGTCAAGGCAGGGGTCGAGATTCATGGGCGATGAGTGCATTGGGGGCAGACGACGCAGGTGAGGACGATGTTGGGCAGCGTACCACTGCATGCACTGATTTGACGGTGGGTGTTCGCACGAGGTCTCAGGCCTCGAGTGGAGTTCGCAGTACGAAATCCACTCATATCATTGACGACGATTCAGATGCCGCCTCAAGTGATGGCCTTTCTGGTAGTGACTGCGTGGATGAGAGGGATAGTGAGACTCGTGCCCGGGGAGAGGACGAGAGTGGTCCTTACGATAGCTCAGATGGCATTGGGCATGAGGACGACTAGAGGGATGTTCACTACTGCGCTAAGGGATGTGTTCTGTCATCGGTGGTTGTAGCATGGAGGAACTTGGGCGTTGATGTTGCAATTTCGTGTATCTGCGACTAACAATGATGAGTTTGTCTTCATACGATGCGTGCACTGTGTTGGTCTGTTATCGAGTCAATATCTCGTGTATATGTGTGTGAAATTGCTAATCGGTCAGTTGGTTTAGTCCACAGGGTAAGGTCATCGCCACTCTGTGTGTTTGTGTGTGTGTGTGTGTGTGTGTGTGTGTGTGTGTGTGTTGTACTGCATATATGTGTGTGGATGTGGGTGTATAGACATGCAGCAAGTGTTGCAGACGCATCAGTACATGCAACACTAGCTGCATCCGCCTACTCCATCAGCCCCCCCCCTTCCATACATCCCACACCACCCCCAAAAACATTTTTTTCCCCAGAAATGCTCCAAATCACCCCAAACTTTTTTTGGGGGATCTCCTAGTCTTGCACAAGAACATCCCAATTTTTTTATTTTTTTTTAATGCCAAAAAGTGGTTGTCCGGGATCCCGGACAAACCCCCTACCGGACGGTTGGGGGAGACGTCCGGCCGAGACATTCGACCATCGGACGACGGGTAACAAAGGTATATATATGATATATACATATATATACTAATATATATATATATATATATACATATATTATATATATATTTAATATATACATATTCTCTCACACACTCGTATGTAGCACACACACACTTTATAAATGCAGTTCATCGTTGCCTTTCTGGATGAGCCCTCTGAATATTTCTGCTATCCTATTTGAGGCGAGTATGTTGTAACCCTTCGCTTCGGCTGCTACTCTTGCGATGCTGTCAATTGTTGATTGCCAAAATTGTTGAACAGTTCTCTCGTGCACTATAACGTTCTCCACAATTCGGAGCACGTCCGTGAAAGAGGCGTTCTGATATGCCTTCTCTTTCGCCAACTTGCCAATCAACACTACTGATAAGCAACACACGTAAACACCATAATCCTCTTTGTTGTTTTGTTGTGAGCATCTTGCATGGAGAAGTCCACAACCAAACATATCTCTACAGGTGTTCCATGATGTGTCCACCTTCTCTTTGAGTCAAATCATCTCCGTTGTAATGGTGACAGAGGTACTCGTGCCAGAGAAATGTCCGCAATGCCTTCCATTGTTGACCTTTCTACCCTCGATATGAGTCCACAAGTATGGCAACTGGCGGTCTGTTGTCAACAAAAAAATCCCCCACTTTCAACAACACGAGAAACATCCAATACTCCTCGTGGTTTACAGGAATGAGCACCACTGGATTTCTTCGCAGTTCATCACAGAGTCCACTCATTTTTTTCGAACGATTCTTTATACGCGTCTCCCACATTTTTTTGGCCACATCAATTTTTTAATGTGCGATGATAACTGCATGCCAGAAACTTGTGCACACGTACACAAGTGCACTATCATCATTTTCAAAGTGTTGTTCAAATACAGACTGTAGATACATATTCATTATTGTGTCATTCAACCACTTCCGGTCTCTCAAACGCAGAATGTCCGCTTCCACGACTGTTGCTTCGTGTGTTCTTGTTTTCCATGTGAACGGAAACAAACCATCCTCATTCACCTCCGTGATAGCCCACGAGCTGTCTGAAGAGTCGTCATCATCTTTGCCTTTATCATTTTGCTTCAACGGGTCTTCCGTTGTCATGTGCAGCGAGTGGATAGATCATGTCGTCAATAGCGAGTACATCTCATTAAACCAAGGGAGCTTACTCAGGTTTTCCCACGTCCTTTTTGACCTCTCCCTCGACCACGGTGGAGGCATATTTTGCAAGGACTTTGTGTCTTCCTCGCGTGTTGCGAGGGTGGCATTCTGTCTCTCTATCATACTGACCACGCTTCGCTCATGTCCAGTTTCACTGCTCTCTCCAATCGCCAATTTCTCAGCGCCAATCGCCCTGTGAATGTGCATGTTCGACTCTTGTTGGGAACGATCACGTGGTGACATCCTTCGTTTCTGTGGCGGTTTCCTTGAATCCTCTATCATGGATGATCCGACAGTCTTCGTCTTTGTTGTTTCTGACATTTTCCTTGTGACACAAGTGTGTAACAATTCCATTTGGAGGAAATAAACGTTACTTCTTTACGATGTTCAATGGTGACATGCAAACCTTGAAAATAACATCCATTGAGAAAGAGAGAGAGTGAGAAAAAAGTTCACTAGTACGGACATTTTTCGCTTATATGGTGCCGGTTGCCGAAGTGACAGACACCCACCTGTGAAGCTTTGGCCGCTTGTTTGAGAAACTATTGTACCACCTTCCATATTGAAATGTGCATGCATAGCATGAAGGACTGATATGTTCACGCGCCCTTCACTGATGTATTGCCTTCCGCCACATTCTACAACACATATTTCTTTAACTAAAAACTGTCTGAACGTGGTTGTGCATGTACGGAAGATCCCCATTGCGGTTTTGCAAAACAGGGAACAATATGAACGGTATCTATTATGGTGTCAATAGAGATAACGCTACTGTGATGACGATTGCTGATCTTCTCCCATTTTAATTTCTTACAACCTGTGACATGTTCTCTTTCACTATCCACCTCCTTATACCACTGCACAAATGCGCACTTGTATGGGTTCGTCACTTCGCCTGTTTGCACATTAATTACAAAAAACATTGCCACTGACCCATACTATGTTGATCCCTCATGTGCTCTTACGACGATATCACTATGCACTGCCCTTCTATGGAACTCTGGTGAAGCTCTGACAGTTTGCACAACTGCTCCCCTGTTTGTGCCGACATCTGTCAAAGCGACGACCAATTGAAGTCTGGTGTGTATCCACGCATCTTCACTTGGGGAAGGACAATCATTTTCGCTCATGTACGCGTCCAGTGCCGCTCGAAATTGTTCTCTACACGAGGTGTCACGCAGTACCTTCAGCGCGATGGACGTCATGCCTGCCGCACCATTGTCCAGTGATGGTTCATCAAATGAGAACCACCGAAGTTGGAGTGTCGTTGTGTCGCGTGCAGCCAACGTGTTCAATCCAGTTGTTGAGCCCTCTATCACAGACGACCGATTCTCCGTCGACCTTCTTCTGTGTCTCCTTACCAAATCATATTCTTCTTGTAACGCGAGCGAGCGCCGAACGTGGTTCACCATTTGGGATGCGGCCTTATGTTTATTCGAGGACTGATACGGGTGTTTGCAGAACTTCCTGTGGTGGTGGTCCCACACATCAGCGGCGAACGTGTCTGGTAGACCTGATCGTTCTATGCATGATCTGAAATGAAGAAGATCGTGCATTTTAGGAAATTTTCACGCGGACGTTTGATATTCTCTCATTTGCGTTTTCAAACTCGTTATGAAATCGGTAACCATTGGCAGTGTATCACACTTGTCGAGCGATGTGAGGTTGTGAGTTGTGTTCTGAAATAAACATATATACAGTTCCATAAGCTTACTGAAACAACTAGTCATTTCTCTCCCTGCCCTGGTAGGAATAATATTATGTACAATAAATATGCATATGGTCATCACTGACCAATTTTGCTTAGCTTCCAACCGTCCCTCTCTAGAAAAAAAATAGTTGCCTGTTGCAACGGGCAACACAAGTTGTGGAAACGTCCGAGTGCATCTTTCGCTTATGATTTGCAGCCTAGCATCGAGTTCCTTCAATATGGAGGTTTGTGGGACATGGGCCAACTTATCGAATGCAACCGTTCTAAATGCATCTATCATGTGCAAGAATATGTTGTGTTCTATTGTGTGCATACGGTCTGGTTGCAAAGCCATGTGGTAGTCCAATAGGGGATCGTCTCCGACTGGACCCTATAGAATCCCCACAAGTCATTCTGTTGGACATGGTTATGCATGTTTAGATCCACCAACTGCGCTTTTGCTGCCCTACTAATGTTTGCATCGTCTGTGTTGAACACATCCCCTATTAGCTGTTTTTCCAAAGTCTCCGACTGCCTACAATTAGTAAAATCAACGACCACATCCAAGTCAGTTCTTGCCACCGTGCATGTCAGGCACACTCCGAATTTTACATTTGTCATCGCGCATCTCTCCGGGTAGTCTTGTATGTAGTTAAGAAGGAAAGGGTGCACAGTTATCTCACCAAAACGTTCGCTACGAATAACCATGCCCTCATGCGATGCATCCTTTGCGGACTGCAACACAATGGACAGTGCCTTATGTAATATTTGCGCTTTTCGTCTTCTAAATGTCGTTGACTTCAAACCCCACCCCTTGTCGCGTGGCATGTGGTGAAGCACAGGGAGGTATGCAAGAAGTGTTGCATCTGCAGCACGATCTGCGATGGACATCATCAGAGGGTATGCTGTCTGTTTTTGTCGTTCGTCCACATGTGTTTTGTCGAAATACAAGCAAAACGGCATAACGTCACGTTTTTTGCCATTTGTATCAAAACCCTTGTCTGCTCTCACGATTTTTTGCACGTGGTAGCTCAAACTTCGAGTGCGGGCAGTAGATATGTGGTGATTCTGTGATGGGGGGGACACCTCTAAGTCAAACACCGTTTCCACATTCTTTGTCGCGGCCACAAGCAACGACGTGAAGGTTGTACGCCAATCGCGCCACCACAACATGACATGTGTTTCTAACGGCCAGTCGTCGCTTCTAAGGTTGCTCTCCTGCCAACCATTCGCCGCAGCTTGGGTGCTTGCCCAGTGCAAACATTCGCGACTGTTACGATACGAGATGTCATGTGTCGTGAATCTGGGATCTCTAAGTACTGACAGAAGAGCATCGATATCGTTCTGAGACATGCCGACGCCACCCCTCGCGGACAACATGACCGCGGCTAGTCTTCGTGACGTGTCAAATGTCGGAGCAACACTCGGATCTTCTTCTTCCGATAGTGTATTTGCTTCTTCGTTACATGGTGCTTCGATAAGGCTGTTCTCCGGCATGTCAACATTCATGGCAACATCATGTTCCTCCCCTGTGTCGTTCATCCTTTCACTCTCATTTACTTGAGTCCGATGCAATGTGATGGACGGACATGCCCTTGCTCGA